GGGTGTGCATTATTTTTCTAATAATTCAACGGCCCGTCGTCAATTATTCCTTACATAACACTATTCTGAGTGTAACTGTTTTATAAAAGCATTAAGGCAGTTAAGGCCATCCTAAATTGTAAAAATAGCTAAAGGTGTTGCAAAATAGCAGCCTTTATTTGTTACTTTGTTCATGATATAAGGCAGACTTTCATATTGTAAAACTTATATGCTCAAGATTTCAGATGACTTTTACTAGCTCCCAGATTCATTTTCAATTTGGCTACATCACACAGTCAGTATTTGGGATCCACAATTTCATTTAATAGCAAATTGACTCTCAAATTGTCCTGTATACAGACAGGATCAAATCAGATCAAATAACTGAAGTCAGTCCTCTTCTAGTGATAATCTTGATTAATGCCTATAACAATAGTAGCTATGTTTCCATCCACCCATTTTTATGTGCATTTTGTAATACCGCATAAAACCCTGGATGGAAATGCCACGATGCACATAAATTCTAAAAATGCACATTAAAAAAACTTATGCGCACAATTGAGTAGGATAAACTTTTTATCCGATAAGAGAAATGTGCATAAACTACGATTGGAAACACATTTACCGAATAAATTCCACCATGTGCATCAAAAAAGTCATGTGACTTTGCACGATGGGATGGGAAAACTCGTTCTGAAACGTTGTTTTGGTCGTTCTGAAATACCTGAGCAAAGTCTGTCATCAAAGTATGTCTGCATAACTGTCTTGTACGACTACGTTCCCAAACAGCAGGCATCCTCCTCCGAAAGTATTAACTGCATTTGTTGTGTTTCGTCTGCTCGCTCTGAGGCGCAAGTAATTTATCATATATGAAAATTACTGTATTCAGTGGCTTCTCCTACTTTTCTTAGTGATATTTAGTGCCAGTGTATCAGGAAGTGACGAATTTGTTCTCTTTGACTCGTTGGATGGAAACGGTGCTTTATTCGTAAATGTTTTATGCGATATTCCAGTTTTGCGCACAAGTTAAATTTGCATCTTTGGATGGAAACATAGCTATTGATAGATAATAATAGTAAACATCAAGACGTTTTGTTTTGTCTTCAATTATTGCCATCCTGCCTTCATCCTCTCAGATGTGTGGCATAAAACACATTAACAGAACATATCAAGAGAACAAATTTGGTTTTGACTTCAAATCTCAGGTGGTCACTTCTGTTCTAGACAGCTGTCAATCTTTGTCATACCTAAACTGTATTTAGCACTCAAAACAGGACAGCCGTATTCTGACACTGAGTGAGCATAGCCTTCATCTCACCTTGACTCTGATCAGAATAACACAGGTCATCATCTCGCAGCTCGATACCAAAGTATGATGTTTCCAAAACAACACTAGACACCTTCAGAAAACTGCTGAGTCATGAGTCCCTGCTCTCCTGGAACACGGGCCAGGATGAATCAGTGTGGCACAGGCTGTGACCCGATGGCCAGTGGGTGGATGAGAGCATGTAGAACTGGCAGCAGGGTCGGATGAGCGTTAGAGGTTTGACAGATCGGCCAAGACCCATCCACCCACAGCTCCCATTCAGTCCCGTTGAGCCTGGCACCGGTTCCAACCCCCACCCACGTCCAGCCTGCGTGTGGCCCGGCTCTGTCCCTGTGCCCCTGCCAGCGTTTCTGAACCACTCCACTGCCCTGACCCACTTTCTCCAGCTCTATTATACTCGCTCCAGTCCAGCGATACTCACTGAGATGGCTATAAAAGCTTTAATACAATCAAAACATTTATTAGACTGGAAAACATCTGATAAACACAGTCAAACCTGAGTGATGTTATTGTGCACTGTTTGCACAGGCTAAACACACTAAGATCAACACACAGAGAGCAGACAGGCCCCATGAAGTTCTTCCGGACCTGTGTGTGTGTGTGTGTGTGTGCCCCTCTCTCGCTCTCTCTTACTGCCAAAAAAATGCTTTACTGTCACAAAGCCTGGCCGAAGACAGTCAGCTGACCTACAGTGTAGAGAAACAGCATTATTCAAGCATGAATGAAGCTCAGCTAAACTTGAAACAATCTTGGCAATAAAAAAAACTCTCCAAGTTAAGTTACCTTATAAAAACCAAAACACAAGAACAAAGCAAAATCTCATACAGAACTGAAGGAAGAGCAAGAAAGGAGCATGAATCCAGTCAGCCTCCACCTACTCCAATAAACAAGAACACACATTGGGGAAAATCAGAAACACTTCTATCTTCATCCTCAAGCTCACATACAAAAATAGACTTGACTTTGAACTGCTTGGAAGTGAGATATTTCAAATTGAATATGTTGTAATGGCAATTAAAAGACTCTCACGTTAGCAATATTATACTACGTAAACTATATAATAAACTATTAGCAATATATTTTACTAGGGGAGTATAACAAACCATAAATACAATGTTCAAAAAACAGCATTTTTTGAAATAGAAAACATTCGTAACATTAGAAATGTCTTTACTGTCATTTATACATCCTTGCTAAATAAAAGTATTATATTTAAAAAAAAAATCTTACTGACCACAAACTTTTGAACAGTCGTGTATGTTTTTTTTCCCCCTAGAATGATGTGGTTACAGCATCTGTGTATCCACTGTGGGGGGAAAAAACAACTCCTGTACACATCTATACACTGGAGAAAACATGGATTATTATATGTTTACTTCAAATTCAAAAGAATATATTTTCTGCCTCATTCTGTGATAAGAGGCCAGATCAGATCAGAAATTGTTGGTTAGTTCAAACACTTGACTGATGTTGTGGAGTAAAAAAGATACAAATCGCAATTTCAGTTTGATTTCAGTTCAACCCTAGTCTAAAGATCCTTAAATCAAGACACATTTACTTGAGAAGCAAAATGATAAGAAGTCTTGTTTTCAGAGAAATTGATCAAAATGAAGTGAGTTTATGACTGAAAGAAGAACAAATATCTGCTAATAAGCTCAGAAAACTCAACCCAATGGAAAAATTCAATACAAGTTTTCATTCCTAATTGGCATATATTTGTTCTTGTTTTAAGCATAAACTCACTTAATTTTGTTCAATTTCTCAGAAAACAAGATATCATATCTTCATTTTGCATCTCCATTAAATGGAATCTTGATTTAAAGGGGTCATATGATGCTGCTAAAAAGAACATTATTTTGTGTATTTGGTGTAATGAAATGTGTTTATGCAGTTTAAAGCAGATATTTGTATTGGCAAAAATCCTGGGGAAGATATGTAACAGTGCAACATTTCATTCCATGGCTTTATGAATTTAAGACTTTCTGCTCTGCTCTAAGACCTTTTTAAGGCCTTAACTTGTGGAAGGGCGAATTAAGACCTTTTTAAAGACTTGGGGGTGAAATGTGTACCCAGTTTTGTTCTGGACAGGCTTTGTGGGGTACACCCAACCGGTATATAATAAACATTCTACACAAGCTAATAAGGAGAAGGCCAAAAATCACTCCACTGGTCCCTGTCATGCATCCCTGCACACCGTGTGAGGAGAAATGAGGCGTCTCTTTCACCCTATCTCCTTACATGTCAAATTCTGTAGAGCACACAACTCTATGAGAGGCTCATACTCTCTCTCAGTGCAACACAATGATGATATTCACTCCTGCCGTTATATAAACAGTTGGATCCAGACTGGAATGGACCAGTTCTCACAATTCCTTTAATTCCATGCAATTCCATGCTTTCTTGTCCTTATTTCCTGTTGGGATGGATGGGTGCTGATCTACATGACTACCACAGCTTGCTTCCCAAAGACACTGTAATGCCACAGAGCTAATAACAATAACTGGCTGTTTAATGACAGAGAACCAAGCCATGCTCACTACAAGAACAAAGGGATGTTTAAAGAAGAGATGCAAGAATGTGAGACAGATATCTGTCAGTCCGAGAGTCTACATGTGTCTTGGCTAATGTTTTCTCCTCTGTCAGAGCCTTAGGCCTCACCTTTCTCTCCTCGTTCTCGCTGTTAACTCTATACCATCACACAAACACAGAGAGAGCTATGTAAACAAACTGGCTATCTTCAATAGACTTGTGTTCTGTGAGTCACGAGCAAAACTGCTGTTGCTTTTACCTGTTCGTAGTTCAGCCGCTGAGCCTCCGAGATCTCTTTTGGCTTGGCTTCAAGGATATAGTCTCCTGTTGTGAAGGAGCAAAAGTAAGAAAGAAAAAGAAAGGGAGGGTTAAGGAAAACATTTGAGAGACAGTGCACTTATGAAAAACACATGCTCACAGGAGTCTCCTCCTCACCCTGTTGTAATTAACAAACTGTCTATATATGCCAGTAAACCAAAAGCAGTAGATATTTACAACCCCGATCTTTCTGTATTTAAAGCTTTAGTGTGAATATCAGGTAATACAGTGACTGAAGCCTACCTGTTTTAGTAGAAGGGCCTGCGGAGTTAAATTAGCCTTTCACAGAGTTTGTTTACATGATGTGCGTCTGTAAAAGTTTTATGTTGTTGAGCTACAGTCTTCATCTTTCTGTCCAAATATATATACATATATACAGTGGGTACGGAAAGTATTCAGACCCCCTTAAATTTTTCACTCTTTGTTATATTGCAGCCATTTGCTAAAATCATTTAAGTTAATTTTTTTTCCTCATTAATGTACACACAGCACCCCATATTGACAGAAAAACACAGAATTGTTGAAATTTTTGCAGATTTATTAAAAAAGAAAAACTGAAATATAACATGGTCCTAAGTATTCAGACCCTCTGCTCAGTATTTAGTAGAAGCACCCATTTGATCTAATACAGCCATGAGTCTTTTTGGGAAAGATACAACAAGTTTTTCACACCTGGATTTGGCGATCCTCTGCCATTCCTCCTTGCAGATCCACTCCAGTTCTGTCAGGTTGGATGGTAAACGTTGGTGGACAGATTTAAGGGGGTCTGAATACTTTCCGTACCCACTGTATATGACAGCTGCATTATGTAGAACTGTTAGTATAGCTGCGTCCCAAATGACGCATCATACACTATGCACTTATACACTATGTACTTATGCACTCAACCATGTAGTGTATGAATTATATAAGGTTATTTTGTCATTCATAATTGGAGGCTAATAGCCACTCCCCCTCCGCTGCGTAGTTAAAGCTGCGACAGTTGAGTGCATGAAGTGTCCAACAACCAGGTATTTAAAGTGCACTTTTTCTTTTTGGAATTTTCAGTGTGAACACACTACTCACACTATTTATACTACAAAACATCATAGAATAGTGCTTAAGTACGCGATTTGGGATGCACCTTATGGCTTCACCAAAACCAGACTACTATGATTTCAAATCATACTAGTATGATCTCAATCATACAATAAAGTATTATTATTATTTTGTAGCTATATTGATACAATTTGGCCAAATTGTGCAGACCTACAAACGAGCACAGCAAACTTGAATTTCTTCTTTAAATCGTATTTTAAATCACAATCAGTTTTTATTAGAGAAAAAAAAAAAAATTACAATTTAGATTTTATCCCCAAATCGTGCAACCCAAGAAACTGAACTCAACACAAGAAGTTTCAGAATTCAATTCAATATTTAGTTTGACCTCTATGCAAGTTTACCATTGTCCTCCTTTTATTGTCTCTCCTACAGATCAGTGAAGGGGGCTGGAGCGGAGACAGGGGGCATCGATGGCTGCTGGCAGACATGAGAATATCTGACCCTGGGTTTTGTTCTAATACCCAACCACCTGTCATCCGCCTCATTAACATTCTGTACACACATACAGCTCTAGGTACAGGAGCACTGCTCGGCTGTACTGACCATTAAATCAAGGCCAAATCAGAGTAAATAATCCACTCCATTACAGAGCAGTCTATTGCTATTGATTCCCACATATCCGTCACTTTTCAAAGCTTTCCAGTGACTTGTCATTGTACTAATAATTTAGCGACACTGAATTATGTGGTTGCCATAGTTCAAAACAAACGAGTTCAGAATGCCAGAGGAAGCCTAGCTGTTTCTGCTCTGACAAAGCACGAACGTGTGAGAGAGAAGCGTGAAGCTCGGCGGATTTATTTTCGGCCCACTCCCTCAGACTCCCGCTTCCTCTGATTGGTGCCAAGAATGCAGCCCAGCACAGGCAGGTTCATTTGGGCCACTTTCACTTATTTCTGCTCAGCAAAAACCCTCCGTTCCAACTCCCTCCTCTTCATCTCTTTTTCAGTTCCTCTCCAGCTGATCTCTTCCTCAGTCAATCTCTTGTCTCTCCCATTCTAATCAGAACCCATTAAAAAGATTATGTAATTGCTCGCACTGCTTTACAAACATCTTTATAGAGTATTCACTTTATTACATCAAAATGTAAAGGAATAGTTCAAACAAAAATGAAGATTCTGTCATCGTCATCGACTCATGTCGCTCCAAACCAGTATGACTTTATTCCTTCTGTGGAACACAGAATGAGAATTGCACTGGTTGCACTTTTTTCATGCAATTAGCCGGCACAAAGATGAGATTTTAAGCTTCAATTTAAAAATTACTATAATCATAAAATTGCTCCATAAGAATTCATGTGTTATATTCCAAGTCTGTGTATGTATCACAACAGACATTTAATGAGTAATGACTTTGATTTGGGTCTGTTTGTCCCACAAAGTTAACAAGGTTTATATTCAGCGAACATATCTGCTATGTATTTAGGTCCTAGGCCATTGAGTGATTTATAAATTGTTCACCACTTCTAAGAGATCTGCTTCTAAACAGTTATTAGTACAGTCAGTATTGAAAAAATATGTGGGAAGTGTGTCAAGATAGCAGGTTGACGATTGCACAAGTAAATTGCCAACTTTTATGCCACTTTTATGGTGATTGTCCATACTTTTTAAATCTGGAAAATCTCAGTCTCCGTTCACAATAACTGCATGGAAAAGAGCAACCAGTGCAATTCTTTAAAAATGCTTCTTATAGGTTTTGAAACAATCAAGATCTAGGATTTTAAGACAAAACTAAATTTCACCATGTCTTAGAATTTAATTCTGGAATAATGTCTTTTTATTGTTTGAATGATGAACAATTCATTCATGAAACCAAAAACATTTAATTACACAAATCAGTCATTAGGCTCTGGCCAAATTGTTTTGATGCTAATAAAATATTGTACACTTACACTTTGATCAAGAACTGCTTGGGTTACTTGGATACATACTACAGCATTCCACAGTAAATGAACAGTAACTGAAATACATGTCTTGATCAAATCAGAAAAGACTGTGCAGTCGTCAAGAGTTTGTTCATGGGCCACTGACTTTGCCTGGAAATGAAACACTAACAGTGCTGTAAAGTACAGCAGAGAGACAGCGAGATAGATGCTGTCTAATGGAGTTAAACAGCTTACTGCACCTAGGGAAGAGAAAAGCAATTTACAGATGCCTGTGTAGCTAACCATGGATGCCTCATAGAGCATAAGTGAGCAAATGTGAATATACGCTGCTGAATAAATGCAGCTCAAAGCTATGATGGGAGTACCTCAGAAGTAACAGTCAGAAGGTCAAACGAGCAACAGTAAATGTAAAAAGTGCCCAGCTGGCACACTCTTCATCTGACAGTTTGTATCTAGGGGATTTCTGTGTCCTATATGTCAGGCATGCTTTAGATCACATGGATGGACGTCCTCACAAACAGCTCAGCAATAAGAGGAATACTTCAGAGTGGTCTCTAGGCAGACAGCTGGGAATGGGGTGTGTTGAATGGCCTCAAGCAAGTTTTCCAAGCCAAACTGACCTCACAGTAGGTAGTGTTTCCCACCTGAAGCTGCTATACCCTTGTCACTTATATCGTATTACACATTATGCTCTCCCATTTTTTTGCATGTTTAGTCAGGAATGGGGCTGAAATTAGATCATTTTATATCCACTAAATATAATGATAAAATATTCTACAGATGTACTGGATATAAAATTATTAAATCAATTTCATTTAAAAAATGGAAGAGCATCTGATGATGACCAGTAATAATAATGATGGTAGAGCAGCAGCAACAAAAACAACAACAACAACAATACTTCTTCCTACTTGTCTTTCAGCTCATCTAATACAAATATATCCTATAATTTTTGGTCAAATGACTTGTTATATCTCAACGTTCATTGGATCCAAACAGAGCTGGGGGAAAATATATAATCTACAAAATAATCTAAAGCTGACCATACTTCCATCTTTAAATTAGTTCAAGGTACTTTTAACAGATTCTTTGCTTTATCCCCTGGTAAATTGTTGTTGTGACTTATAAATGTAAATTTTGTATATGTTATGTTATTTGTTGCTGCCCTCTTGCCCAGGTCACTCTTGTGAAAGAGATATTAATCTCAGAGTTTTTTAACCTGGTTAAATAAAGGAAATTAATGCATTATTGAATGAATAATAATAATTATTATTATTATTATTATTTAACTTTGTATAATTCTATTATTATTATTATTATTATTATTAAACTTTGGATAATTAATTAATTTATTATTATTATTATATATAATGAATAAATCAATTAAAAATTAAATAACATTATTAGGCTTTCCAAACTTTTTTTAAGTTTAACAAAAGTTGAATAATATAACCACCTGCTATACAAACACACATGCTTGATAAATACTCTCATTCTGAGTGGAAAAAATGTCTTAGAGTGCAAAAGTTTAAGTTATAAAAAAAAAAAAGTGACCACACCCATGTGAGGAATGACACTTGGAGACCACCACATCCTCTGCGGTCACAACCACTGCACTTTATGAGGGTGAACAAGGCACAAGCTTGCAAAGTTCATAAAGTCTGTACTTTCTAGAAAGATTCCAAACAAAACACAGTCTGAATCCAGTAAAGTTTCTGCATTGTATAAATCGCCTGTGGTGTTCCACTTTGGATAAAAGCATCTGCTAAATGACTAAATGCGTTTATAAAGGTCTTCAAGGAGTGTTAAGAGAAACCAGTGCACATATATCAACCTCTGAATAACACATCCAGAGCTGATATCTATATACTTCTCTCATACTTGGCATTTCTGGAGTGTGTGAGGCAAAATAAAACTGCTTACAGTTAAAACACTCATCATAAGGTGTCACAACATTCAAATTCAATCAAAGCTCTCAGTTTGTGACTAACTTTTATAATAGCCTTCAACAGCTGGTGTACTTTCTTCGTAGCATCTACAACATTTTTTTCCTTTAACAAGCTGCTTTTACATTCCATCAATGGTATTTATTTAGGACCAGTAGACAGATGCTTTTAAACTATTAAAGAACTTATTTTAAACTTATGCGAGAAGCTGAGGACCAGGCAACTGTCAAACTGCAGTAATGCAACACTTCAGTGTACCAGGTCAACATGCCACAGTGGAAATAGGGATCTGGATTCTGTGACGTTACAAGAGGACGAGCCCCTGGGTATTTCCCTGATCTGGTGCTGTCCATCAGCATCCTGAAGACATATCACATTTTCAGGTTCTCCAATGTTTATCAGGCTGTTTATCGAACTGTTTATCGTCTAACTCGATTTACAGAGTGACTTCTTCTCAAACACTTTCTAAAGCCATAAAGAAGCTCAGATTTTGTAGAGGTGCATGCAAAAAATGTCTAACCAGAAAGTGTATGTTGAAATTACACTACACAATCCTATAATTAGGATGACATGACTAGCTTTTGCATGGCTCTTACTGTAATTTGATGCCCTATGGTGGACACATTTAAATTTTCTTTTTGGGAACAAACTAGTAATTAGTGACATGAAGCTGTGGGCAGAAGTAGCCAGAAACACTCAAGCGTAGTTTTTGCACTTATGGTGCTGTCAGCGAGCCCACCGTGCTTTCTTTGCATACATCTTTCTTTATTAGCTCTTTAAATCAAATAAAACCTGAAAAATCTACTCTGATTTCTACAGAGCCCTCCACTGGATGGATACGGTGTCAAATCAACAAAGCCATGTAAAGAATCCACATTTATAATCCAAATAAAACTCTCACCTAGATATTCCATCAGCTGCTCTGCTGTTATTATCTCCATCATTGGTGGCAGCTTGACCTGAGCCAGAACCAGAGAAAAAATAATTTTAAAACCAGTTTAAATGACAAATTACCTATGGCCATTTTTGAGACCTCTTTTCCTTCGACTGATGTTGTGTAATACGAACACATAAGGGTTATGGTGTTTAAATAGGCTGCTGTATCAGCATAAATGCACTATGGGAAAAGATTTTTATCCTAAAAAAAACACATCTTAAAAACAGCCTGAACATAGCTATCATCTTCAGAAGATGCCAGTGACTTTTAAAGCAGTCACAGCTGAACAACATGCCTCTTATTTCAAGATGAAAGACTGAGCACTGAAATAGCTCCTCATGTGCCTGCCAACTCACCGTCAAAGCCAATAATTAAATGTCATCTTTATAATGCAAATGAGTCCAGGGCTGAAAGCCAGAAGTTATTGGTGTGTCTGTAAAATCGAACCAAACCAAAATACTGGTACGGCTCTACAAATACATGGCAAAGGGGATGTTATTTAAAAATATGGAGAAAGAGAGAGAGAAATCTGAAGGTGAAGACAAAATCCAAACAGAATTTCAAGTCAATCCCAATTAACTCACTGTCCAAATACTATTACAATTGTAAAAAATAAAAGGAAAAAGATGTGTTTCAGTCATAATCACATTGTATGTCTCCACATTTTTACAGTTTGCTTAGCCAATTATGGACCATAGTTGTGGAACTGTGTGAATCTTGAGAAATTATTTTAAAAAATGCATGCATGAAGTTTCTTTACTAAAATTTGCAAATTGTTTCATCGCTCATGCTGCATGTTTAGACTTTTTTTTTTAATCAGCAGAAGTTGGACTTCTGTTGACTGGGGTTACCGCAAGGATACTGTCCCATACCATCACATACATAAAGCAAATATATTTTTATAATTTTCTATTATTAGTAACTTTGTCAACTGCATGACATGATGTCAACATGGCAGCCTCCTGTGAGTGTACCTCATTTTTACCAAATAGGCTATCTCAAAAGTGCTGTTCATGTCTTTCTGTAAAACTTTTTAAGAAACGATCAACGTCTTAATGTGCCTTTATTTAATGGCAGTGACAACTGATGTCTCGTGACCTACTGAGTAGACACACACAATACAATAAAAAATTTTTTTGTGTGCATTTGCACATCTATGACATGGGTGGTACCTTGAGCTGTCAAACGAGCAGACTCATCTTATTTACCTTCCATGACAATAGCAGGACATTCATAATAGCCAGCAGCGGACACGGCCCGTTCTCGTTCTGTGTGATGATAGGCGTGTTCTCCTCCTTCCACTTTATCCACTTGATGTGGTACAACGACTGACCGGCCACCCTGTCTTTAGGACAGGAGATTTTGGTTCCCTCAGCCCCGTATTCACTCTGAATCTCCAAAGTCAGTCCCTTGTCCTCCAGTCCCTCGCTGTTGAGGTCTGAACTCGGGCAGGAGTTGAGGTTGGAGAAGGACTCCAGTGAATCAAAGCTGCGGGACTCCCCTGCGATGCTGGGCTCACTGCCATTATCGTTTGAATTCGAGCTCGCGGATTTTGCTTTGTCCGAGCACAAACAGGCAGACTTGGCCAGCTTCGTCGCTTCTTGCATCCCTCCATCCAAACCGTCCGCTTGCACGTTACTGATGTCGGGTTGCTCTCCCGCGAGGTTGTTTACTAACTTTGAGGTGCCACCCTCCTTATTCCCAGCAGCGGTCGTCGACGGTTCGTATCCCATCCCGTTGCTCAGCTGATCCGTTGCAGACAGTGTCTCTGGTAAAACGCTCTTGCTTACTGTCTCAGCAGCATCTGATGTCTGTGTGCAGGGTGTAGCATTAGCACCGCTAGCACTTGCACAAGTACTCAAAGTCTCTCTCTTCTCGCAGACATCTTTCATTCCGCCCACTGTTTTGATATCCGCGGGTTCTGCGGGGATAGCGGTGCACAGGACACTTCCTCCCGCGTCTCGATGAGGGTTTGCATTCTTCTCCATTTCGCTGAGCGCATCGACGACAACCTTTGACTAGATGGCAAGCTCCAGTCTCAGCTCCGACGACGCCATGGCATCTCCACCTCTGACGTCACCCCTTCATAGACACTTATTTACCGAGTCCGGCTGTACACAACCGCTAACTATGTGTCATTTTACTAGCCACTTAAAGGGATAGTTCACCCAAACGTGTGAATTATGTCATCGTTTACTCACCGTTTTTCCCCCCCAATCCTGCATGACTTTTTCTTACATGAAGCACAAAAGAAATGTCAGAACGTTACAGTCTGGGGCAAATAAAGTGAATGGAGAATGAGCCTGTCACACCTTTTTGGTAACGTTATTTCACCTAAGAAAGAAAGTCAAACGGGTTTGGAAAGACATTCTGAAAGTCACACAAGCATTTACCCAATAACATCATAATAAATATTATACTAGTCATAAGTTAGTGTACTTGTTTTTGTATTTTGTATTACTGCAAAATTACTGCAAGCTTTCAAAAGAAACAAAAGTTTTATATGTGTTGTTCGGAGCCCAAATTACATCGTCTTATTTAAACTATGTGGCAGTCATTTCTAGTTTTCTTCAATTCTGCATAATGTAACTCTCTGTAACTTCGTTTGAAGCTTTAAGATAATACTTATGTTGGCCAAATTTTTGTTCTTTAATTTGTTTAATTTCTTTGTTTAAATCGTAATTATCGTTTTGTTCGTATCCATTATTTTGTATTTTGTGTAAAAAGAAAAAAATAATTTATAGATTTAGTTAGTTCATGATAACTGTCACGCAAAGTTACACGTGACAGATTAATGTAATCTTTCGTGGATTTAGAATTTCTCCTCACTACATATATCGTGATCACGTGTGAAAGATTGTATGTCTGTCATGAACATCACGCAGTATATCCCGCAACAAACCCATGTTTCTATCCACCGCACGATGGCAACATTGACTTACATATATTGTTGGTTATTCTTTTCCCCCGTCTTCTTAAAAGGGTCCTATTATACTTTTTCACTTTTTCAACTTTAGTTAGTCTGTAATGTTGCTGTTTGAGCATAAAAAAGATCTGCACAGTTACAAAGCTCAAAGTCCACTTCAAAAGGAGATATTTTATTTAATAGAAATCACTTTTCAAAAACTACAACGAACGACTCGTTTGGACTACAACGTCAATCAAATGCATTTATTCTGTATTTGACTTTTGAACAAACTGTACGCGTATCTATCAGGTGATCGCTGCGCCTGATGTCCGCATTCACCTCCACTCTTCAACACATATTACTATACATTATATACAATGTTATTATTATTGTGATCCCACTATTTTTAAAAGTGCTACGAATTACATAATTTATCATAATTTAACCCAGTGTTCACAATTTTAAGATAATTTTAGGAAAGCTATTAAGCAAAAAACAAACAAAAAGAAATACTGTACTAAAGTTGTGTCTATTAAACTACATATTAAATATACATGAATGAAATTTAATGCTGTAAAACTAGATTATAAATACATTAAACACAATACTGAACATTACAAAAATAACCTAATGTAATGCTGTAGATCTGTTATATATACACACAATATTGAACATCAAGAATGAACTGAAAAACTATATTATATATACACATGATTATACACAATAGTATGTAGTTGTACATATAATTTTTATTATTTTGTTTCATACAGACAGACATAAAGTATTGCAGGCTCAATCCCCATGGCCCTGTTCTTGAGAAGTTTTTTGATGGAGGGGATACAAAAGCAGACTTTCGTCTGACGAGAGAGAGCCTCAATAAACTTTTGGAGCTGCTTCATCAGCAACGGAGACATGGCTGGGGGGGAACACTCCAGACCTTGGTGTTTTTGTATTGGTTGGCCTGTGGTGCATCTTACAGTGCCAACCATTCACAGAATTATACATCGAGTGGCTGATGAAGTCATGGCAATTTTGCCAAAGGTTGTGGCCCCAGCCAAGAAGATGATGTGGAGGCATGCAATCAAGGGGAGGCAGTATCTGGTGCAGCATGGTGTTTGAGATGTTTGAGATAAGTGTCTGCCTTACAGGATGTCAACCAGGACCACGACTACATAAATCATCCTAATTAAAAAAGTAAGTTGAACACACTAAATACAATTTAATTTAATTTGGTTACAAATACTGATTTTAAAATGAAATGTATAATTAACTATACTTAAGTTTAATATAGTTTATACAGCATTATAAACGGATAACTGATTACCTTTTCATGGAATTTTAAAATCCTTAACCCAGAATAATTTTTTTTTCTTCTTCTTTTGTTCTTAGGCTTACTAGGAAGTCAGCATGAGAGCTCACACAACACATGACATCTTTTTCATGATTTATCTTTTATTTTTGTTAATGTGTAACCAAAGATATTTATTCATTAATGATTGTGTTTAGCCATTTAGAATGTATTAATTTAAAGATTTAGTGAAATGTTGACAACAGAATTACCTTTTTAATATTTGTAA